GAGACTGATCAGTTGCAGTCCTAACACATCGATGGAAAGATTCAAACAAACAATATTAAGTGAATCCCTTTTTAAGCCTACTTTTAGTAAATATCAAATACAATCATTAAAAGAATAAAGTATTTTAAATATAAAGCTTACTAATTTCTATCTTAAACTGTCACCATTGATAAAAACAATGATCAATTTAATTTGTGACATTTTCATTAAAATGAATCATTGATTCTTTGACAATGCAGTAAAACATTCATCACAATTTCTCAATCCAATTATCATCATCATCATCATCATCATCATCATCATCATCATCATCATCATCATCATCATCATCATCATCATCATCATCATCAAAGTAACTGTCAAATTATTTTGTTTATTATTTAAGGATCTTATGAGCTCTAAGCTTATTCATAAATGCGTAATTCACATGGATTGTGCAATCAAAATAATAATAAGAATAATCTATCGCTCAATGAAGTTTATTTCTTTCTTTTTAAAACACATTCTAGACTACAAACTAATTACGTAGTTTCTTGTATCTATAGCAACTAATATTTGCCAATCAGTTGTGAAAATTATGGTTAGTTTTTTTCTCTCATTTACACAATTATAATTACATGTTAACAGTTTTTCGAATTTAATTTTATGTATTTAGTGAAAGTAATGAACGGACTTTACTGAAAAATATATCGCTATACCTTAGAGATCTATAATGATATATAGATATGTAGATGGCGTGGAGTCGCGATTGGCTATGATCACCAATTCTGAAAGATTACGTGCCAGGTATCGACGTGAATATCTCGGTAGGCCAAAAACCAGAAGACTGTTAATGGTTGGGAAAAGATATATTTGTTGGTGATCTCGTAGTATAGAAAGAATACCGACATGTGCCAAAGTTTACGGGAGGAAATGCAGAGTGTACTCGAGTCCGTGCAAGGTCACAGAAGAAGGAAGGAAAAGTGTATTTGATGAAGTTAAACAAATAAGTACAGTAAAACAATCACCGGTACAATTGGTTATAATAATAATTGTTTCCATTATACCAATCACGTTCTCGTCATAAAAGTAGATCACTACAGATAAATGAATAAGGTTTCGAGAACAATTATCCCCACATATGTATAGATTAAACTAATTCAGCTGATAATATAACACGAAAATTTGATCAATTTGTAATCTTCAACAATCAAATAATCTTTTTTCTTATACATCTTGTGAAGATTTATTTTGTGTGAGACTTTTATGTAACTTTTATTTATGTCTGAATGAGAAGACAAACTAATGCTGAGGAGTCCCGTAATGGGACGAAATGGCCGTCCAGTGCTTCCAGGTTTTTGATGGTGGTCTAGCTTCAATTGACTAATGATTTCAACTGTGAAAATACTAAATTCTCCACAAAACCCCCTCTGATCTAATAAATTGTTGTTAGAATTGTTGGATATGTGTATACACAATAAAGGTCAATTGTAGTAAATATATATTTGCCACTCACATAGTCAATTAGTCAAGATAATCAGCTGCAATACAAAGACGAATTTACTATTCTTTGTCGTTAAGTATCCAAAATCTTAGACATACAGAACACGTAAATGCACAAATCATCTAATTCTTACTAATAGTCTTAATTATGTAATCAATCATTTCTCATATATTTTTTGGAGAAACATTGCATTTAATTGTAAGCAAAGATGAATAGTGGCCAGCAGTGGAATTCAGGACGCGCGTTTCATCCTATTTGGGACTCGTTAGTTGGATGCACATGCATCTCAGAGTTGATGTTCACTTTAGGACTCGAACCCAGTACCTTTCGCTTCAAACGCCATCGCGTTATCCATTCAGTTACTGAGTCCTGATAGCCACTTGCTTGTGCAATGGGGTGAAGTTTAAATTCATTTCGTATAGTTTGTTTGAATCTTCCCATCGATGTGTTAGGACTGCAACTGATCAATCTCTAATTGGCATATGTGCATACTGTGCGTATTGCCTCACAATGCTTGTGAATTAAGGCTATATCGAAGCAGTATGCACATATGCCAATTAGAGACTGATCAGTTGCAGTCCTAAACATCAACGGGAAGATTCAAACAAACAATACTAAGTGAATTACATTTAATTATTGATTTTGACGAATTCGGTTTGATTGAATTTAGTTTACAAAAGTTCGAAGTAGTATGTTTGATCATAATGAGATAAAATTTATTTCAATTCCATTAGACAGTACGAACCTCTTGGTATGCACAACTAAACTAGGTAAATTACTATTAGAAACAAGGTAGTTCAAGCGAAGTTCCGTATATACTTCTAAAATAGTTTTACAGTTAATATGGTGGATAAGAAATAATCTACTTTAGTTGTTTTTAGACCCTCATTTATGTTTGGGTACTTAAATGTTATCAGATAAATAATTCCTAGTTATACTATTCTAGTTTGCATGCTCTAAAAAGATGACAACGATGATCCCATAATTTATACATTCATTTAAGTGGACAGTAATTTTGTTTTGTGAAAGTCCTTTGGTTAGGATTTAAGAATTCGGTAAGTGATAAAATCAACAGTCCGATAGCATTGTTCATTAAAGGGTATAATAAAACTACCCATACAGAAGCTAGGCTTTTTTATGAGTTCTAAAATAATCGATGTTAAGTCATGAAATTTTCGGAGGTGGTTCTTTACTTCTGAATAAAATCATTCGAGAAATACTACACTTGACGAATGTAGGTTAGTATGCTTTAATCTAATACTTTCCAACAACGGAGACACCAAGTGAGATTTCTCTACAGAACCCTGAGTTGTAAACATTTTTCTCTCTCTCTTGTTCAATGCTTACTCGGTATTTGCTAGAGTTTTAAAGATTCTTAACAGAAAGTGACTTATTTAGACATAAACCTTTCATTAAGGTGGTCCAAGAACTAGAGATCCTTTTATTTCAGATAGCAAATCATAATGATGAAATGTGTCAAGCAATCTATCCCTTTCCTATTCTAAATTTTAGATGCGTAAACTTGTGTACAAATGGTTGAACTTTTGATAATCGACTATTCTTCAAAATGTTAGACAAAATATTATCTTCTGATATTCCTATAGCTTCAATAAACCTACGATACAAAGTGAAACAATTGTTTATCAGTAATGATCTGCATAATTCAACGTTATCTCGTTATTACAGTTTAATCAGCAAATTCGGTTCTGATAGGATGGAGATATCGAATTAAGCGTTTAACATAGTTAATTAGGAAGGAATAATTTTAAAAAGTAGGGATATTTACAAATCAACTAACATTTCTTAAAAGTATTATGAATTTTGAAGGGATTTGAGAAGTTCTGTATTAAAACGAACAAGATTTAAAACCCTAGCATGAAATACATGATGATACGGACAAGGTAAATTAACCAAATGATCCTAACAAAGTAATAACATGTCAAGGATCCTATAGAAAAGTACTGATCATTTCCTTTCTAAAAATATATTTATATGTATGAGGTTGTAGAGATAGTTAAGTTTTTGATTGAGATCATGAACACACTTATGTAAAACCACCATTGAAAACCTGGAAACACTGGATGGTCGTTCCATCTTAGTTTCGGTCTCCTCGGCAGTACGGGATCATCGATGAACACTGCTGAGGAGCCTCACACAAAGACGAAACGCCCAAACAATGACTCCAGGTTTTCAATGATGGTCTGACACCAATCGATTTATGATCTCAATATATTTATCTGTCAATGACTTCAATATAAAGTGTCGTAAATTAAAATATTTAACTTATTCAATTAATATGCACATCAGAATGAGAGTTATCATTATCATCATGATTGTGAATGTAATTGAAGTGTTTTCAAGCTGACAAACTAAAGTGTGTCTTTTAAATCGTTGCTTTGTAATACGTTCAGTCTATTCATATAAGTTCATTTTCGTCAAGCAAAGTAAACACCAAATGTTCTCAATAGTGTAATGAACAAAGCACGCGTTGGGGGACAATCGACTGTATTTAAGCACAGATTACAGACTATCTCACTAAATTCTGATTACCATACAATAAACAATTAGTTTGCAAAATAACTATCAATTGTCTCAATCTTCACTGTTCCTTATGCAAATATCAACCCGTCTTCTCTGATTTGATTATGCATGTATTTTCATACCGATTGCGCTTCATTTCTGTTCTTTCCTTATCGATCTTCTGCCAAAATACATTCTATGTCTGACCATCATCATACACTACTTATATGCATATAAGTACACCACACCACAATAGTGCTTTACAAATACTATAGGTATTTAGTGCCGATCATCTCAAGGTAGTTGATAGTTATTGGCAAGATATATCTGTATTCTTGAAAATTCTGATACTCCTTGTAGAACGTAAGTATAAACCATCTAGTTTTGCATTATGACATTATATCAGTTAAACAAGTAAGCAAATAGTCAGTCAGTCAGATACAACGTAGGCACATATATGCATCGGTTCAAGTTGCCATTACCTCGTTAGCACAACAAGATGAACACCAGATTCATAGAAGTAGTTAATTTAGTGATGGTAATATATAAAAGAAAGGTTGTAGACGTTTGATTAATTAATTTAAACAAACAATTAACATTAGAAAAGTATAACATTGATTATTATTCCATGATAAATTAGTATAGATCAAAACCATCTTAACTTTCTTTTACTATCCTTCTCTTTTTGTAAAACCAAATAAACATTATCAACTTTTACTTAAATGTACTTTTCTTATACACAATTACAAATGTCTAATTTCCATTGATTTAAATTTGTTCATTTGAGTGCACACATTTATAGTTAGGTATAAAACAAAAGTGAATCTTACTGGTTATTTCTTTTAATTATAATAAAAAGAGATATGCTTAACAACTAAATATGGTTAAATCAAATCCTTAGTTTCAAATTCCTCATACAAACAAACAAACAAACAAATGGTTTTTGAAAAAAGATTTATTCAGTTAAAAGTTTACCAAACAATTAACTGTCAACAAAATGCAAACAATTCATAAACTAGATGGATTTACTGAAATCTATTTTATGGTTGATAAAAGAAAAAAAGGTAAGTTTGAAGTAACTTTTTGATAAGTATTAAAACAAAAAAAAAATTATTAGTAACCATTTGAAATTGAACTAATTAAGTACAAATGTACCCTTTGGTCTTAGTTATATAAAGAAAGATCAATATTTCAATTTAAAGCAATTAGTCCCTTTGATAAATTTCGATAAAGCATGTTTCATTGAAAACCTAAAAGATATGAAAACAATTGTGTCACATCCCACTAAGTTTAACAATTTAAATGTGTCTGTGGTCACAAATATCTAGGGAGGAGAAATCGTGATCTGAAAATTAGGGTGGGTGAACAAGTACCAAAATGATAAGCAAAGCTGGATAAGTCAAGATGGATAGTGGCTAGCAGTGGAATCCAGGACGCGCGTTTCGTCCTATTTGGGACTCGTCAGTTGGATGTACCTGCAATACGCACAGTTTGCACATATGCCATTTAGAGACTGACCAGTTGCAGTTCTAACACATCGATGGGAAGATTCAAACAAACAATACTAACTGAACTTAAGTAACAAAATGGTTGCAAAAACAGCGTCGAAGACCTAATAAGAGTAGAGGATAAACATCCATCATCCTGTATTGCAAAACACATAATCGAAACAGGTCATAAGATTGATCTTAACTCGGCTTTTGTTGTGTTGTATGAAAGTGTAAAATGGCGTATACTAAGGTTTATTGAAGCCTTAGTCAAATGAAAATTCAAACCCCCTTTGTGTATTCAAAAACTGTTTGTTCTCTCTTTAAACATACCCTGGTAATAAATGCTTATTATCCAGAGTGATTAGGTGTCGAATTGTTTTCACATTATTTTATCATTATTATCCTTATCTATTCTTACCCCTATTTCCAGTCTAGTTGACCTTTTATTTTTATATATAATTGTTCTTAACAAGTATATCTGTGATCAGATTGTTCGAAATGTATTGCGCTGATGAATCACATAGTTCTGATAATCTTCGTCTTCTTATCACATTATCGAATATTTAAATTGAAAGGTAGTGTGTTTCAGTTAAAGTTTGAATATGAAGACTAAAATATAGATACATCTAAATAGAATGAAGTGAATATCGTAGGTCCTATAGCTAGCTGGTATAGTAGGTTAGAGTTGAATTGATTCCATTATTCAATGACTTACGTCTATGATATGTAACCTCATTCTAAGAGAGGGTAATCTTGATACCAACATTCGTTGATTATAGACGGTTAATTTCATGACACTATAAATCTATGTTTAAAAAGTCAATTTTACAAAAACTACTGTCAAGTATTACGTAGTTTAACCGAAAAAAGTTGGACCATTTATCAGTGTTGATAAGAAATAAAATTCGAAATATTTTAGGTATAGTTTTGGTTTATTTTGAGTGTTAGGGAAATCCTCATCCATCATCTTTGTGTTCACACTAACTTCGTATCATTCACTATTTCTAGTAGTCATTATCAGTTTTCTGACGTTATAACAGCTATCGGTCAGTATATGGAAGATCAATAAAAATCTCCATTTGCACCAGTTATGTCGTCTTATTTACGTAGAACAAAGAATAGTGATCTCCTGTTCAAAAGTAATTATTCATTTAAAATCTCAGTTGTTTCCCAGTTCAAAATATCACTAAATGTAATTCATTTATGATAATGTATTTGCTTCAGTGTTCATCAGCGTTTCATTTTTTACGTCTAAATTTAAAGCACACAATAGAACAGGGGATACAATTATTTACTAAGTTATCACTGTAAATATGCTCTATCACTCATTGTTTACTAATGTTTTAAAATTCGAAAAAGCAGTTTGTTACTAACTTACCCTAGCTAGTTGTCACCATGATCTATGAACTGGATCAATATAAACTTCATAGAAAAGGTGACTACTGATACTTTTCAAAAAGATCTAATTAAACTTATGTGGAAACTCATATTCCACTATATCTATTCAACTATTAGACGTATACATTCTCAATTGGAGATGACTTGTTAATGTATGAAGTTGATTGATAACCTTGTTTAAAAAATATCTAAATGAATAAACCATACACTTAACTATAATCGTCTTTATACAGTATTTTTTTAAAAACTCTTCTCTAATATCAAATGTTTATCTCAAGTTAACTACATTCAAATACTTGGAATAAAGTTATCCTACTTCATGGCTTCTTATTGGATGCAAACTGATACGTCTGTAAGTTGAACGCTATATTCAGATCCTAAGCTATTCTGATAACCCCAGGCTAGAACTACTCAGCGACTTGAACACCAGGGAGAAAACTCGAGTATGAGAGAAAACACTTTACTGTAAGGTTTATTCATGTACAGAAAATACAGGGATTTTATAGTAATTAAGAGACCTTGAGTTTACATAGTAGCAGTGTGTTAATCAGCCAATCAGGATCTCGTTATTTTAGTAACATAACTTCTAATTAATCGCTGATTGCTTGGGGCTCTTTATTATTATTATTATTATTATTATTATTATTATTATTAGCTTTATTCAATATTATATTTTTGGTACAATATAAAATTCTCAGCACAAAGTACTCCAATAAGTTTCGGTTTCTTACTTCTTCGTCCTTCCTGACGATAAATATTGAGTGATCGCCAGTTAGAAGTTAGCAGCCCAGTCAATCGACATCTGGATAATGTACATTCTTCTCGCTGCATATTGCCAGCAACCACGATATCTCTGATTAAGCCTTCTGTAACATTTACAGCGAAAGGTTTTACACTTTTCAGAAACGCACATGAAATAGGTTGTGCGATTAATAGGCATAATGATGTATTAAAACAAATGAAATTAGGTAACTTGTTGAAATATCTAGATGACAGGAACAGGTAGCCCAGATGTTTAAACAGGCCGCCATGTATGAGCCTCTGGAGGCTCTGTTAGAGTTCTCTGGAAGCCGACTTAACACCTGTGGACCATCCTCACACAAACAACCAAACTTTACAACAAATGATAGGCTTTAAAACAAAGGTTTGAATTTGGTAGGCACAACAAGTTAATTTTTGTCCTTAATTACACTATTCATTCCAACATAAAAATATTTATAAGTATTAAGTAGCAATGAAATTATAAAACAAATTTATTTTATATGTATAGTTGAAATCATGAGTCAATTGAAGCTAGACCACGATGGACAACCTGGGAGCACTGGATGGCCGTTTCGTCCTACTGTGGGACTCCTCAGCAGTGCGCATCCACGATCCTGCCTCTCGAGATTAGAACCTAGGACCTACCAGTCTCGCGCCAGAGCACTTAACCTCTAGACTACTGAGCCGGCATCCACTGGTGTTAATGTCTAACTTCAACCTTAATTTTCTGATGTCCTATTACTTGTCACATAATTCCATCAGTAATTATTTCTACAGAATCATGAACTGATCATAGCTTATCATCCACATTTAATAAAATTTCCCTTGCTTTGTGAGATCGAATTTGGGGAGTAATGTATTTATTTAGATTTTAGCTAAGCAAATCTTGTTACTGCATTAGTCAACTAGAATGGTAAACTTCGTTGTACTGGTAGTAAATTAGTGTAAGAACATATCAAACCATCTTTCTAGAAGATATTATCAGCCATGTATTTTAAAATAACTCAACAGATTCACTTTAAATACAGTTTCTTAGCACTAAACATCCAGGTAAAACATTGTATGAAAATGTTTAAATGCAAACCGTTTGTTTCCATGTAGAAACATCTTGAAACTAATAAAATGAATTCCATTTTTTAATTATTTGAGTTACATATATATTTACAAGAAAAAGTGATTATTGGTATTGTAGTTAACGAAGCCTTGGTTGAAATTGTCAAACCAATATTTAGTGCAAAATTACAGTGTCCTTGTAAAATATGAAAATTATACATTCAATACTTCATTTGCACGCCTTCCATCAATTGTCTCTCACAAAATTCATCATTTCTTCATTACTGTTGTTATCACAAATGCCTTCTGTCTAAATTCTTGTTCTCTCCAATTTGATCTCAACCTTCTGCTGCCAGGCATTCCGCTCCTTGTTGGTGTTATATATTACTTATGTCCGCCAACGTAAGTAGCATACACCACAATACTACAAGATAAGAATATGCTTTCATCTATGATAAATACTAAATCTCCACAAAACCCCTTCTATAATTAATACTTTTTCTATAGGGATAGCTTATCGTCCTTTAGTTTGTGCTTTATATGCATATTACTTAATTTTATTCAGTAGTCTATAATCGTTACACGCATAATAATGGCTACATGTAGTAAATGCCATAAATAATTATCTCCTGGTATCAGGGATTTTATGCAAAAACTTTACGTATAAATTGTTATTCTGGTAGCATGTATGACTGATGACCCACTTATGTGTCCATTCACAACAGATTTGATATTTTTACTCTTTCTGTAACATTTGATCATATAAACACCAAGTCTTATGAAGTTCTCTAGAATGACGAAGATCAGATAATAACTGGTTTTATTTATCGATCTCCTAATTTTCGTTGTCTACTTTCATAACACACTTAATTGTTAGATATTCAATGAGTGCTTCAATTAGAGAGGCTTCTAGTGACCACCGTGAACAGGGTCAAAAACTCAACAAAGATTATGGTATGGCTAAAGGTAGAAAAGTGTTTATAGAAAACTCATGATAGTGAGCGGTTTGGTTCCACAAAAACTAAATGTTGTAAGCAGTTCGCATTTTACAGTGTACGACAGTTACATCAGTTGTTGAATACGTAGACTTCCATAATTCACACTTTAGACATTCATTCGAATGAAGAAATGCTCCATAATAAAAGGTTTTCTGCATCCAATTTGCAAACTCATTTCGAAATTTATCTAATGATAACAACCAGAAATAAAGAAAATCTGGCTGAATTCTTCTTTTTCATAGGAGATTAACTAATTCTGCCAGTCCTATGTAGTTAGTTATGAGAAACATACGTATTACCAAATCCATCATCTAATACCTGGGAAAAAAGGCTATTGAGGGTTATTAAGAGCCATACCGACTAACTTCAGCTATACTTATCGTGGAATGGACCTAAATACAGATTTTGGAGCCAATCAGTTCTATTAGAATGATAACTACGATTTGTGGTTCATGAGTATGCTTTTAGTTATTTTGTGTCTCTTTTCAGTTGAGTGACGTAATTACTTAAGATAAACACTGACAATGTTGTCTAGATTGACAGTGACAGTTTTGTAATTATTCGAGATATCCCATTTGGTTTAGCTCTTGGTTCAAATATCTGTCTGTTAAAATAATCGAAAGCCGTAGGCATCCATGTTAACAAATTCATAGATTTTTGATCGTTTATCACCATTATTAATTTTTTGGCATTTTACCAAATTACACTTCCTTTTTTGTCGTTATTACTCAGCTGTTGTTAACATTCAATTTCATTTAGTAGACAAAATCGTTAAACATAATCAATATGCCTCAATCATTTTCATAATAAAATTATTTCGTTAATCATTGATTATTAATTTTTATCATTACCTTCAAATATGTAACTTGTCATCCATAACTTGACTTGTACTGATTTTTGTCATCCATTCTACTATGGTGTGTGCTACTGATGTCGACAGATATAAGTAGTATATATAACCAATTGAAAATGAAATGCCTGGCGGCAGAATGTTAAGAACAAAAAATAGAGAACGAGAACAAAGAACGATTGGTGTGGAAACGATGGAACAATGAAGTAGTATCTGTTAAGTTGATTGTAATCAATTAGGAATTAATGTTCTCCTAGTAAATCAATTACAAATCAATCAATATAACAAAGATGCTAAAACAGAATGATTTGAGCCTCTGTTGTTCGCTTGTAGGATTCATCACTGAATATTGAAAACAGTGTTATACTTGCCTAGTTCTTCATCCAGATCAAATTCTATCCATAATGTTGTACTTTGGTCACTAGTCTAAATGATTCTGCATAGCTTATACTATCTTTTTATGTTTAATGGTCAAGTTATCCAACTCCTTGGACATTGGTTTCATGGTAATGGCCATATCACAACTTGATCTACATCAATAAACGTTTAACAATGGTGATAATGGTTAGTAAACAGTAATATATCGATGTAACATGAATGCCATCAGATAGAAGGCCAATAAGCTTTATTTGTGCCTTCTTACATCCACTCTTTCTTGAATATAAGTAGCATAATTATAACAGTTCGTTTAAGTATAAAGAGAAGTATTTTAAGGCAAAAATCTTTTGATAAGTATTCGGAATTTATTTTCTAAAACGATTTAATAATTTCCTGATTGATTTCTTTTAGGCTGGATTACTATGCCAGAATTACGAAAGTATATGGAAGAAAATGATGTGGATGAAAAGATGTTCGAAGTAAGCCAAATATTTCTCTGAAACGCGTGTACAGCAGTTTAGTAACAAGTGCATTTTTTAAGTTTATATCACGGAATAACCTCAATTAGACAACCTTTGAAAACCAAGAACATTTTAGCAATTTTCACATAAATGTTTAACATGGGAAATATAACTATCTTGTAGTCTGATATCGACTTATTATACTCTTCAAATATCGTTATAATTATCAACTACAATTTAAATCCCTGAATTTATTTCGTTCACAGCGTTGGAAAACTCTATTTGATCCTGAATCCACTGGTCGTATAACATTGGAAAAATTCTGTGAAGTATTAGGTTTACAAGATGAAGTTATGTAAGTTAATATAACTAAAGATTAATTCACTAACTGAAACAATTTCAATTATTAGAAATGTTCAAACTGCTATTCAAGGAAATGAAATGCAAGATGTACATGTTATTCAAACGGATATGAACACAAAAATGAAATTGACTATTTGTGGACTAATTGATGAAGGAATATTGATTTATCAAAATGATTCGGTAAGATATACTGTTTCCAAGAGTATCAATTAGATGTGATTTGTGTTGTTTTGAGTTTGTTTCAAATACATTTTTAACAATTTACTGGTGACATTGGTATCAAAAGATTGTTGTCCCAATTTTTTGACAGATCATTCTTTATTAGAAACAATGTTTTTCGTCTGTTTATTTCATAAAAGCTTAAAGAAGATATTATTGCAAACTGTTCCATCAATAAACATGATGACTGTAACCAATGTTATCACAGTAGAATATAAGTCAATAAATCAATACAATCGTCGAAATTTAAATTAGTAACCTCTTTGAACTATTTTTAACATAAGAAAATCACCACAAACTATATACCCAAGTGATAATCGATTACTTAATAACAAAAGCATTGGAGACGATTTACACACGTCTTATAAACAAGGTATAACCTGTGAAATTTAAACCTATCTGTATTAAAATAGATATTCGTTATAAGCAAAGATGGATAGTGGATAGCAGTGGCATCCAGGACGCGCGTTTCATCCTAATTGGGACCCGTCAGCTGGATGTACCTGCATCTCAAAGTTGATGTTCACTCTGGAACAAGCAAGTGGCTATCAGGACTCAGTAACTGAGTGGATAACGCGATGGCGTTTGAAGCGAAAGGTACTGGGTTCGAGTCTCAGAGTGAACATCAACTCTGAGATGCAGGTACATCCAGCTGACGAGTCACAAATATAACGTAACGCGCATCCTGGATTCCACTGCTGACCACTATCCATCTTTGCTTACAATGCTTGTGAATTAGGGCTATATCGAAGCAATACGCACAGTATGCACAGTATGCTAATTAGAGACTGACCAGTTGCAGTCCTAAGAAATCGATGGAAAGATTCAAACAAACAATACTAAATGAATTTAGATATTCGTTATGTTGTAGCATTCTGTTCACGCTACATGGAGAAGAGAATGAAGTCAAAAGTATATACCACCTAATTCCAATAAGTGGTTCGATGTTGTCATGTCTCCTTCAAGAATTGGATGTACGGGATGTAATCTTGCATGAGGTTCTGGGTACACACAACTGTAAAATTAAAAATCGTGATGAAACAGTTGTTTTTAATAGTTCTCCAAATGATGTAACCAGAGGACAGAAACTAACCTCGAAGAAATGTATATATTCACTAGTATTAACGAAACAAATTTGAGTACTATATAAGCCGTGGTGAGTTTACAGTAACTTTTCACTTAGACTGTATGAAACGTGTCCCACAATAAACATAATGCGACAATTGAAAACTTAATTATGCGATTAGTCGGTTTATCTGTTAACTGATTAGTTTAGTAACATTAAAGATTGTTTACATTATGTACAACATTCATTGTAAGCAATGGAAGAAAATTTAAATTTTCAACACATCAACTTGTAAACAGCGAAAAACCATAGAAACCTATTATCTTTTAACCTTGGGTTATACAGTAGTAATCTATCTCATTTACACAAATCTATTATATTTTTAGTGACTTGTCCAAGTATTCCGGCTACCTCGTTTCAATTCATTCAAATATCACAATTTTTTTCTGCTTTTACTATTTCTTAAAATTAATAAACTGAGTCTGTTGACTGCATTAATTAATGATACGCTTCAACGAAAATCTTACAAACTATCATCATACTAAATAATGCAAACTAAAACGGTAACGCTTCTGTTGTTGGAATAATTTCTTACTTCCATAGTTCGTAGCGGAACAAGAAAAACTTACATTTATATTGACGTGCATATACCAACTTAGTGATATACTCTAATATCTCATTTAGTATATACATACATTACATTATTCAAAAAACATTGCATACTCAGAATTTGCGGAAAAAAATTTGCCGTTGAATATGAATGGCAGATAAAGGGTTTTTGATATACATTTCTGAGAACTGTTATTATTAAAATTTGTGATTTAGAGAAGAAATTATCATAATATTTCACGCTTTTAGCTGATAATTCCCTACTGTATTCAAACATATAGTATTACTATTTTTTTAAACAAATGCAGTAAAACAGTCTTAATCACATGGCAAATCTTCATTTACATTAATTGAAACATCTTTGGAAATCTTCAAATATCAATCCTCTAAGGTACAACATTGTTTATTGAACGGTTGTTAAGGATTTTAGAAATTAAAATGAAGTAAGTCTGGTTAACACAGAAGATGATTATACACGGTGATTGAATTACGAGTCAGAAACTTGCGGAAAGTCATTCATAAATGTGCCATCATAATGATACATCAACAATCTATCAGTTTAGCACACATTTCACAGGATCCTTAGAGTGCCTGAGAATTTCTAAGTAGAGGACATCTACTTTTTACCCTTCAGACGGAAATGCATGATGTACGACACTTAGATTACCAGCAATTGGTAGGTAGAGTATCGGATTTAATGAAAAGACTGTTATAAGCTCCAAAAGATTCCAAACCAAATGTATTGAGGTTAGGAAATATGTTTTAAGTAACAAAATGAAATACCTGACAGTAATAATCCTGTAATTATAATATGCTTAATGAAATAAAACGTAATATATTTGTTCATCTATTCCTTTACAAATCTGCTGCCTAAAATCATTTCATTCATCCACATTATTATGACAGATTAGTGTGTTTCTGCTGTAACTAAACTTCAGTGATCATGTTGAATTATTAGAGAATTGAACTAAGAACTTAAATCTACCAGTAATACGTTGCCAAACGCTAGGGAATTTCCTCGACTCTTGTACTGGATGACTTAATCTCTTACCGTTCATTAAGCTTGCAAGAAGCGGTATTATTTACTATCAATTACTTACTTGTGCCTGTTACTCCCGATGGAGCATAGGCTGTCAACCAGCACTCTCCAACTCACTCCGATTATTTACTATTAGAATGATAATAAAAGCTACTCAGCTAAATCATATAACATAGAGGGTAGCACTGCAAACATAAAACAATCCCTTGATCTAATTGACTTATTCTTATATTTTGATTTAGAAATTAGCTGAATTCTTGAAAAATGAATTGGATAAGTATTTTGGAAAGTTATGGAATGTAATCATCATCTATGGTCGATACTGGTCACGCTATTGTCATGAAACAGGTTATAATTTCTGTTTCATTAAAGATGATCGTATATTCCTAGTATACAAGATTCCGGATTTAGAATAGAAAAATAAGAAGATATTTCAATCATATCCCATTCTTGAAGTTATTTCTGTGACAACTTTGAAGTAAAAATGATGAAAATGAAGACCAATTTTTTAAATATTTTACATGTAAATTTTGATTCAGGTTTATTTCTAAGTTTGTCGAATTCGTTGATTACATAACAACCAGTCAGTGATTATACAAAGTTTGGACTTATATTTTAACTAACTAAAGAACACGTGATGAAATGTATAAATAGTAAATTTTATGTTTATGCTCACTGTATATTGTTAAAATGTTTGTTGAAAGATAACGGTAAACTTTAAATCATAAAGCATAACACAGCACGGTGATTGTCGTATTATTTCTAATTAAAACTTTTGTAATCCGATCATGTTTTGTTTAATGAAATCACTAGTTTTAAAATGGTAATTATTGGTTAATGATTTCTGGAAAGTGACACAAAACGTAAGTATTTTTCAACTGACCAACTTTTCTCCAAACTATGAACGTAAATAACTTACAAAGATCTAGCCCCATCATTGTGAACGTTGTCACGGACATAGAAAGCATCTTTTTGAGTGAGTTGTATCTGGTAGCCTTCCAATCGCTTGAACCGTTCAAGGGCCACAATCATGAATGCAATCCCCTACGGTAGAACAACAATTCTTGGATATGCATGTTAACTGGTACAGTATTTTTTATTCTCAATTACTGATCAGATAAACTTGACTTACCGTTTCCTTGATGTTGGTGGTTATGACGGGACCTACAAAACCAATAACGGAAATTTATTTTTATGTCATATTGTTGCGTTAGACATGAACTCGATGTCAATACCTGTTTCGTGACCTTTGTAAGTCGTGAAACTTCGTCTCTGTTGTCACAATTCCCGTCATTCTCTAAAACCTCAACTAACAATCGAGAGGTGGTTAGTATCGTCACGATTGACTCACCAGCGATAGCTGCATCCGTTCATCCGAACTCGCATCACATTTTATGTTGTTGTACATCTCATTCGCGTTGCAGTTAAAACGATGATTTACCATTCGAGTGAGATTAACCTTAAATTTAAATTTGTAGGGGTTGCGATTTGAATACAGCTAATCTTCCGTCTGATTTTCATTCGAGACGTCGACAGATAAATAAAAACTTCCAGACCTGACAGTCTTCTGTGGTTTGCAAAACTATCTTTTAGTAATCAAAGCATCAGACAGGAATTTTCACCGATATGTACGAGAACAGCTATTGCCCAAAATACACAAATGATCCAATACGTTCTGACCAGTTGCGAAACTTCTTTGACGCCACACACGGGATTTTGAAGCTCCACAAACCGAAAAGAAGAACACCCGTGCTCCGGTCAATCTTCAGTGTGCTTCTTAGGACTAGATATTGGATGGAATCACGACTTCTCACTTTGATGGAACTTTCTAATCTAACCGACTGTAAATGGGAATCCAGTCGATTAGTGCTGCCTCAGCTCTAGCGCTTCGTGCGACACCAACGCCAGCAAGACCAGACGAAGATGCCACAGGGTCCCCGGATAAGCGCACGTGAGACAGGCTTTTTGAGGCGACAGATGCAGAGCGAATTCGTAGTACTTCACTACAGTTTGGAATACGGGTCTCGGATAGACAACAGACGTCAACATTAAGACTTTCTAAAGACATAGCCAGCCCTATCTGTTGTCCGATCTGCATTAGTGTGCCAGTTTGAATGGTGTACGTAGTTTCAGATAAACTGGTTTTGTATACGTATTCGGTGGAAGCATTCACTTACGACCAGATAGAGACTGGAGATCGTTTAAACAGAACAGAGTTTCCACCATGGGTGAGCTGCTGCATAAGTTGAAAACCGGGAGTACATTAAGTGACGTAGTATATAAAAAAATGATAACTCTAGTAATAATAATAAAATTAAGTGTTATCAAGTGAATGAGAATTGTTTGAATTCTAATCGGAGCAAGCATAGTATTTCGTGAAGTAATTGTCATCTCAATAGATTTGTGTGAGGGCTGTTGTACTTCCCGGAAGCTCAGACCGAATCAAGTGGTTTTCTTAGGGGGCCACACCCAGAGCCTTCGACCCAAAGGTCTGACCCATAAGGCAATGGAGCGTTGTCAGGAGATGCAGTCTCATGGTAGCCAGTAACCAATAATTGGTTCATACGCTATTTGTTCTCTCAGGATACTGGAGTTTATGTGCATCATTGATTTGGAATCAGGGTTTTCCAACTCCCCTAGGTGAACTCGCCGTTTCCACCAACCCGGTTAAATCGCCGGACATCCGCTTTCCGTCCTGTCAATTTCGTAAACAACAGTAATGCCACGAGAAGGCAGTGAGTTGGACTTCCCTGACAGTGGCTGTATACTCGTGGCCGCGTGAGAGCATTTCTAGAGGAAGGATGGCCCCTCCCCAATTTCGGCTGGCCCCCAAATGTCCTGGCACGGCCGAGAGTGAGGAGAGTCTTCTCTCCCTCTCGAAATGCTCTCACATGGCCAGCGAATATATAGCCTCTGTCAGGGAAGTCCTACTCACTGCCTTCTCGTGGCATTACTGTTGTTTACGAAAGTGAGAGGACGAAAAGCGAATGTCCGGCGCTTTAACCGGATTGGTGGACACGGAGGGTCCACCTAGGGGAGTTGGAAAACTTTGATTCCAAACCAATGGTGCACATGGGCTCCAGTATCCTGATGGAACGAATGGCGGAAGAACCTATCATTGGTCAACGGCTACCATGGGACTGCATCTCCTCACGATGCTCCACTGCCTTGTGGATCAGACCTTTAGGTCAAAGACTCGGGGTGTGGTCCCCTAAGAAAACCACCTGCTTCGGTTTGGGCACCCGGGCAGTATCACAGTCCACACACAAATGAATGAAATGATGAACTCTATTGACGATAATATCCCCGCTCATACTAAAAGCAAGACAATTTACATTATTATTATTACCTTTATTATTATTATTATTATTATTATTATTATTATTATTATTATTATTATTATTATTCACCATATCGCTAACTCACCCCCTTTTATCCCCAATTTGTGTAACCTTACTTTTCAACTTATGCAGCAGCTCGCCCATGGTGGAAAATCTGTCCTATCTAAACGATCTCCAGTCACTGTCTGGTTGAAAGTGAATGCTTCCACCGATTATGAATACTGAAGCAGTCTTTCTGAAAACACGTACGCCGTTCAAGCTGGCTTCCTTCAACGTTCGCACACTAATGCATATCAGACAACAGATAGGGCTGGCTATGTCTTTGGAAGGTCTTAATGTTGATGTTTGTTGTCTATCCGAGACCCATATTCAAGACTCTAGTGAAGTACTACGAATTCGCTCTGCATCTGTCGCCTCGAAAAGCTTGTTCCACGTGCGCTTATCCGGGGACCCTGTGGCATCTTCGTCTGGTCTTGCTGGCGTTGGTGTCACACTAAGCGCTAGAGCTGAGGCAGCACTAATCGATTGGATCCCCATTAACAGTCGGTTATGTGCTGTTAGATTAGAAAGTTCCATCAAAGTGAGAAGAAATCGGCGTGAGAAACGATGTCTTTTCGTTATCTCCGCCTATGCCCCGACAGATTGCAGCCCGGATGCAATCAAGGATGAGTTTTGCCATCAGTTAACAGTTCTTCTCCAGAAAGCGCGTTCGACAGATATTGTAGTACTAGCCGGAGACTTGAATGCTCAGGTCGGGCGTCTAGGCACAGGAGAGAGTCGTTTAGGTGGCCGATGGGGACTTGTTGGTCGCAGGACAGATAACGGGGACCGTTTGCTGCAACTGTGCACAGACCACAACCCTGTTTCCGGCCAGCACTAACTATCGGCACAGTCATCGCCGGTGTGCCACCTAGCGTCCTCCCTCTGCATCCCAAGCCTGGACTCAGATTGATCACATCGCGATCAGCTACCACTGGCGTGGTTGTGTACAAGACTGCCGCTCCTTTTGGAGTACCTATCTGGAGTCTGATCATGCCCTGGTCTGCGCCAATCTCACCTTACTTTTCAGTGGCCGAAGGATTGACCACCACCAACGTATTGATATTAGTAAACTGGCTGCAACTTCTGTTGCAAGTAAGTATCGAGCGGAGCTAGCTTCTAGGCTAGCTACCATCCCACCGAAAAGTATAGATGAGCATTGGTTACATCTTCACGACGCCATGAAAATGGCGAGTAAAGCCGCTTGCGGCTTCGCGAAACGTCCCGCTTACAAGCACTGGGTTTCTTCTGGCTCCTTACAACTGATGGAAGCCCGTCGGTCTACTCCGGGTGACCGTGAGTTTGACCACAAACAAAGGCTGTTACGTAATGAAATCGGGCAAAGCTTGCGTAAGGACCGGGAAGCCTGATGGTCGGAGCGTGCTAATGAGATGGAAGCAGCAGCTGAATCTGGTAACTGCCGGAAGCTCTTCCAACTCATCCGAGCCACTAGCAGCAAGAAGTCTGGTGTGAGTGAAACAATCTACGAGGATGACGGGATGCCAAACACTAACACGTCTTGGACGATGGGCGGAATTTTTCGAAGGGCAGTTCAACTGGCCTGCTGCTCCGGCAACATCAACCAGCTTGCCCTGCCCCCCATGGCCGGTGACGACTGATCCACCAAACGAGGCGGAAGTCCGCAAGGAACTCCAACTCTTGAAACTTTACAAATCACCTGGCCCAGATGACTTACCTCCGGCTCTTTTTAAAGATGCTGGTGACTTTCTGACTAGGGAATTGACTGTATTGTTTGGAAAGGTTTGGGAGCAAGAAAATGTTCCAACATCTTGGAATGAGTCAATCGTCGTCCCTGTCTTTAAAAAGGGTTCACGTTGTTCCTGCAATAACTATCGGGGGATAAGTCTACTTTCGATTGCGTCCAAACTATTGGCTTCTATCATTCTTCGTAGGTTGTTTAAAACCCGAGAACGATTGACTCGCGAGGAGCAGACTGGTTTTCGTTCTGGTCGAGGATACATTGATCACATCTTCACCCTCCGCCAAATGTTAGAACACCGTCATACATACGCCAA